TATGTCTGCATGATCAAATAAGGAATCCATTGAAATGGCAGGGAGGGTATGGGCATCTGATAATTTAAGAGTTTTGAAGAACACATGATTTTTTTTTAAATCAATTAACCATAAACATAACGGTTTATTTCTCAATTCTATTCCACTGGTCTCTATGTCTATCTTTATGGCAGTACTACAAGGTCTTGATTACTATAGTTTTGTAGTCAGTTTTGAAATCAGAAGCGCGAGTCCTCTGATTTTGTTTTTCTTTTTCAGGATTGTTTTGACTATTTGAGATTCATTGAATTTCCATTTGAATTTAGGATGAGTTTTTTCCATTTCTGCAAAAAACGCCATTGGAATTTTGATAGGGACTACATTGAATCTACTTTTGGTAACATTGTCATCTTAACAATATTAAGTCTTCCAACCCATAAACATGGGATATCTTCTCATTTATTTAGATATTTAATTTCTTTCCATGAAGTTGTGTAGTTTTGGGTATACAAGGCTTGTGCTTCTTTTGTTAAATATATTAAACATTTTATTCTCTTTTATGCTATTGTAAATGAAAATTTTTATACAACTTTATTGGAGTATAATTGCTTCACAATGCTGTGTTAGTTTCTGTTGTACAACAAAGTGAATCAGCTCTCTATATACATATATCCCCATATCCCTTCCCTCTTGAGCTTCCCTCCCACCCTCCCCATCCCACCCCTCTAGATTGTCACAAAGCACCAAGCTGATCGCCCTGTGCTATGCGGCTGCTTCCCACTAGCTATCTATTTTACATTTGGTAGCGTATATATGTCCATGCTTCTCTCACTTCTCCCCAGCTTCCCCCTCCTCACCCCATGTTCTCAAGCCCATTCTCTATGTCTATGTCTTTATTCCTACCCTGCCACTTTTTTTTTAGGTTTTAATACTTTCCAAGATATAAGGTAATTTTGGACTTTAATGTAGGATGTGTTTTTGCCCAAGGGAGTATTTTAAAAGCATGCCTTATTTTAACTTAAACTCTACTAGTTTATGAAAGTAGCACAGAGATTAGAACCTTTCAAGATCTTTTGAACTATTTAACAAAGAAATAATAGGGCACATACTACTAGTTCAAGAAAATTATATCTGAATTTTAGAAACACAGTGTTACTTGTATTATACTGTTGTATTCTGTAGCCTTCTGTCCCTATAGAAATGTAGAAGTTGGAAGTGTATCTATCTACCCAACCTTGTATTTTGCTGTAAATTTTTTGTGTGAAAGATCCCCCCAAAATTATCAATTATGAAGTCCCTGGACTTCCTATAGTTGCAAAAGTAAAATTTTGTTATTATTGTTTTTCAAACGACTCAAAATTTCAGTTCTTTCACAGTCATCACAATGATATTTGTAAATATCTCCATGATTCAGCTATTGTATATCTACATGCCAGTCTCCCTGCTTCCTCCTATATGTGTCCATATCATTTTCTGAACAAAATGGGATATGCAACAAAATAAATAATACATTGTCATCTATTTTGAAAGACTAAACCATGTTCAAGGCTATTTCCACATTGCATCAAAGTTATAGTTGCTGGGAATGTCAGGAAAATATTGATTATATTCAGAAAGACATTAATTACTAACAGAGTTTCCCAAATTTTTCTTTAAATTTCTAAGTCATTTCAGGCCCCTAAATTCATATAAGACATGTAGAATTTTCACACTGTTTCTTTCAAAGATTCTTCATATGACATACTTTTCTAATGCTTTTATTGCAGTCAGGGTCTTCTAAACTGGGTTAAAGTATCACTTTTAAGATAGTAGACTGAAATTTATGCACTGTATTCCAATGAAGTCTTCTCAATAAAGATCTGCATAAAAATTCCATATCATTATTGAATCCTTCCGAGAGTGTTCTAGATCTATTGCCTCATTGCTGCATTCAGATAGTATATGTATTTGAAAATAATAGATGTTACTCAAAATCTCTCCCATATGATACTTTTCAAAGTTTACTGTCTAACACATGTCTTTAGTTCCTGTCTTGTTAGCTTAAGGTCTTTGTGTTAGCTGTTCAAAATCTCCTTAAATCTTAATCCAGTATGTTAGCTATATTAGCTTGGCTTCCAAGTGTTCTATAATCTTCTGTCTTCATCCAAACTCTTGACAGTTAGAATTAAGAACCAAACTTGGGTACACATTATTAGAGATTGTCCTATATTTGACATTGATAATTAGCTCTTCTCATCCACAGATTTTACATCCTGCTCTGGTTTCCCTTTATTCAATTTATATTAGTTTTTTAATCCAGTTTAAAGTAGTTATGCAAGACTTTCTGTAATACTTGGTTTATTTTTTAAACATTATATTTCAAGTTTAGAGATTTGTTGTTCTTCTTGTCACCTAATATTTCAGTTTCAGCAAGACAAAGTTTGTTCTCATATGTATATGTATATTTATGTGTGTGTGTGTGTATTTGTACACACACACTGTACACACACACACACATACACATATATATATATATATATATATATATATATATATATATCTTCTTATCCCTTTCATTTTATTTCAAAGTTTTCTTGTTCAAGTTCAGTGAACCTACTGCCAAGTACATTTTTTGCAGTTCCAGGGAGGTACACAGTATCCCTTGTCAAGAGTTCATTATTCTGCTGTGCTAAGAGTTTCTGGGTAGGAAGCTCTTTCTTTCCTGAATCCTTTTTTCTTTTCAAAAGTCAAACCTTCAGCTGGAAAAATGAAAGAATATTGTCATGTCTCCATGTGTGAGAGCTTTCTATTTGAGAACTTAAAATGCACGAGAAACATATTCAGGCTTTCTTGTTTCTCATCATGTTTCTGATTGCATTTCCAATAATTATCTTGAAAAAGAACATACTTCCAGATTAAGAACGTAAAGTGGACACGAGGCTAGAGCCATGAAAGAGAGTCCCCATCTAGCCCTGCATGTTATCATGTCATTCCACACATTATGATATTTATTGAGACCAGGGACCAGTGTCTCACATCTCTTCTTCAGAGGACCGGCAGTAAGATTCTCAAATGTGTTTCTGCCTATGAGCCCAAGTTCAAACCTTTTCTTTAGGCTAAGGAATTGTGCATATATGCAAGTTTATATTAATCATGAAGCAACATCCTACACCTGATAGATGTGCTTACTCAAAGGTCAGGTTTCCAGGAGAGTACCTGTGATGGCTTTACTCTTAAAAACACACGTGATGCAGTTTCTCCTCTTTTTTTCCCCATCATTCTGAAACCTGCTTCAGAGTAGGCAATCGACACACTTTTCTTTAAATTTCTTTTCTTCCAGGTGAGAAAATATTTTAAATAACTTATTAGATTATTTATTTATGTTCTATAACAAATCTTCAACAACTTATACATATGTATGTGCATATATGTATGTATATAATTTTAATTTACGTATATAATGTGTATTATTCATGTTTTATTACCTGCATTATATTGAATATTTGAAATATTTATTATCTTTCTATTGCATTAGTTTGGCAATATACAACCAAAAGAATATAGCTGTAGGGTATTTTATCATGACTATCATAAACATACTCATAATTTTAAAAATTCCAGTTTTCAGAATAAGAGAAATTGATAGGAGAAAAAGAATCCCTAAAAGTAATTGTCTAATGATTTACTGACTTTTTAGTGAAAAGTAATTAACTCAGATGTGTAGACACAGGTTGGATGCTCTGGGAAGCAGGCTCTGGATTGGAGTTTAGGGGGCAGGATGTTTATTGGAGTGTGCTCTCATGATCGACATCTGTGGACCACAGTGGGAGTGGAAGAAAGAAAGGCAGAGTGAGCAACTGAGCTGCCATGCAATTTGAATGTGTCCATGGCTGACCCCATGGGAAAGCTCTGGAGCTAAACTTGCACTTCAGTATTTTCTGCATTCAGCAGAAATGGCTTGACATTTATCACCTTGCAGCAATAAGTCATTGGCTATGTGTTGCTCCAGAAAAGTGTAACCTCGGGTCAGGTGGCAATGTACAGTTTGGGTAACAAGTCACTTCATGCAGGGGTTCTGAGCAGCACATCCAAGTGTTCGCCAAAAGGCTCTTTTAGCTAACAGACATGGAAGGGGGACTAACAATGTTAAGATAAACATTTCCTATGTGCACCTGAGGCATCAATACCAATTGGAAGTGAACTGGTGGAGAAGAGGCACTATGACATCCTGGTTTTGAACAGGGTTCTAGAATGTATTGGGGCTGTAGCTTGATTTTTCACTAGCTCTGTGACTTGAGGCAATTTATCCTCTGGGACTGAGGTTATTTATTTTAAAATTATTATTCCTAATAAAAATGATTTTCCCTAAAATGTAAGGAATTTAACATCCTCTCCCTTATAGCGTTGTGTGGACTGATCAAAATACCTCATGAAATCATTTACTATAGTACATAGCATTTTAAAAGCACATAAAAAATGAAATTAACTATTTTATTCATTATTAACTTACCCATGGTGTGCCCACTATAACAAGAGTGCTTCAAATCACAAGTTTAAAATAGTTTATCAATTGATCTGTTGTCTCCATAAATACATTATCTGTACCAATGATTCTTAAACATTTTTGTACATTAACTTCACCCGAAGTTCACTAAAAATATAGCTGTCTATTTCTATCACTTATATTCAGAGTCACCAGATTGGTGGTAGGAACCACTGGCTCAACCCAAAGTCTGGTATCCATGTATCCTTTTCAATCCTTTGGCTGTTATGCCCATGCCCCAAATGCTTACCGCTTCCTTCCTCCTCTGTCATCCACTATTTCCCCTCCCCTTCAGTCCAGGCCCTATTACCTTTTCACATAGGTTTCTCCATTTAAGAATGAGTTTTAGTCCCTGGTTAATACTCTCCCCTTCACGTTCCTTTATCCATTTCATAAACGGAAAAGAAATCGCACATGCCCATTTTATCCATTAAAGGAACTGTGAATCTTTAATGGCGGCTTTACTAAGTCCATGTTATTCTGCTTATGTCTGTCATAGATAACACAGCCAGCATTCTGACAAGGCGGAGGAGATTTAGTCGAACTATTCAGGATGTGTATTACCTCCCCATTATGATCTCTGACGGTGGAATCCCCTCTCTCAGCAGCAGCAGTACCCTCACCATCAGGGTTTGTGCGTGCGAGAGAGACGGGCGCGTGCGGACCTGCCATGCAGAAGCCCTCCTGTCCTCGGCTGGCTTGAGTACAGGAGCCTTAATCGCTATTCTACTGTGTGTTGTCATTCTCCTAGGTAAGTCATTCTAAATCTTAATGTGTGATGACGATTCTGAGTGTACCCTACAATGGCGCGTTAGAAAAGAGAGTGAAAGAGAGAGAGAGAGAGAGAGAGAGAGAGTGAGAGAGAGAAAGAGTCATTTTGACAAAACTTTGGAATTAGTAGTGCTTTACATGATAACAAGACATGACTGTTTCTTTGAATTAACTTTCTCAATACCATAGTTAATCTGGAAATGATTTGGTTCAAATGTGATGAAAGAGTTGAAATATTAAAAGAAGGGATACAATAAGAGAAATCTTTTTGGAAAGGACCTATTTTAGAAAGAATTGATATTAAATATTCTAAATTTCCTATTGAAAGGGCATTTACAATTTATTTCAAAGAACATAAGTGACATTACTCTGCAATGAATCTAACCACCAAATAAAAGGAATAAATTTCTTGTAGAAATTTCTATCAGTCTAAAATGAGTTTATCATCAATCTTAGCTGAATTTTAGAGGACGAAATATAAAATAATTTTTGCCTCAGAGATATCAAATTTTATTAAATTAAAACTGACATTTTTTAGTTTATTTTTGCATTACATTTTATTTTAATAGAAAATAAAGTACTTTCTCTAATTTTATGTTATCTTTTTAATAGTTGGAATCTTATCACAACTGCATTTGAAACTAATATTACTATAATCTCTTTAGAATTGCTATACAAAACAAGAAAGGAAATCCAGATTTTTTTATAGGAAAGGCAGATGTAAATAATCCTTTGCTTTATAGTTTAAAATGGGTACATATATATTTTTCCAGTGTGTCCTCTCCCTCTAGTTTTCTCTTAGGAGCCTTATCTTTTGTTATTTTCTTGCTACTGTGTATACATAAGGAAAACAAACAAACTATGTACTTTGAGACACAGATATTTTTTGCAAGGAATATCCCTTGTTTTGTTCCTGGGTTAGAAGACAAATTACCAATACAGAGGAGTGGAGATCAAGGTGGAGTAAGACTGAGTAGAAAGGATGTTTAGGCAGGGTCGAGGCAGGTTAGGGTAAAATGGCAAAAATGGTGGGCTTTGTTCTAGGAGTTTGAGGAGAAGTTGAAAGCAGGCATGTCCCATCATAAAATTTGCATGTTGAACAAAGATGATTATGAATGAAGTGGAGAACAGATCTCATGCTGGTAAAGAGAGCAGGTAGGCAAACTGACTAGAAATATGACACATTTGTCTTACTCAGATATAGCATAATTTGGACGAGTATACTTAAAATGGAGCTGAAGAAAGATTGATAGTACCAAGGTGTCTTAGGTGAAATCAAAAGTGATCTTGGGTAATAGGCTGCAAATCACAGGATGGAAATATTTACCAAAATCTTTACTGAATGCTTATTGGAAGTTCCTGAGATTCCATTTGAAAACTGCAGTGTTAATTATTTCAGGTCAGTGAACAAATATTTAATGTTTATGACATGGTGTCTTTTCTTGGAACAAGTTTCCAAGGGCTAAAAGTAAAGTAGCCAAAAATTAAAAAAAAAAAAAAAAAGTGATCTTGGATAAACTGGATATGAGACTGAGTTAGAACAGTATCAAAGAAGACTTTTCAACTCTTGCTGAATATGGGCCCTGATCTTCCCTTGGTTGGGGGACACCAGAAATGCATTTTGTTGATGTTACCACAGCAAGAGTCTATAAAGAGAGAGAGGATAGACTAGGACTGAGCTGTGATAAACTCCAGTGTGATTGCTAAATCAAGAAGGATGCGATAGCAGAGAGCAAAGGAAAAATCACAGAACAAGGAACAAAATTAGTAAGGTATAATATCCTGAGACAAAGAAAATAAGTCTATCAAGGAGGACAGAGCATTCAACAGTGTTCAAAGCTGCCCAAAAGTTAAATAAATTGAGTAGCAAAAAGTATCAATTGCACTTAGCAACTTGGAGTGTGGAGGTTTGATTCACCATAACAAAAACTATTTCACTGCAGTACAGTCATTTGCAGAAGTGTGGTAGAGATGGTATCTGGGAAAATCAGGCTTTCTTGATTTTATTAATTTATATATTGATTATTTATATATATTTTAATTGCTATTTTCTTTAGAAGTTAACAAATTACCTTTTATGTCTTTGAAACTGAAAAACAAAATATCACAAACCAAAAAGGAAAACAAAACAAGAACAAAACCCCAAAGAATAAACAACTATAAACATTGAACCCTCTAGGGTTCCTAACTGAAACTGAAAAGAATAGAACTCAGTGACTTTTCATAAGTCAATTTTACTTCAATTAAAACAAAAACAAAAACAAAAACAAACACTCTGACATTACTATAAGTTCCTCCAGAGGCCTTATTCTGAAAGATATTTCAACTGGTGGAGGCATGTTACCTTTGGCTTTTGTTTTCGTTTATCATCATAAAATTATTTTTGCATACTAAAATTAAAAATCTTTAAAATTGAAAGATGTCAATATAAGGTACATTTAGGTGTCCTATATAAAATAACATTTTATTATTTCATGAAACAATACATCCCTTTAATTGAGTTTATGAAAATATTTCCCCTTTGGTGTAAATAAGAGAACATTTCTATATTTTATGCTGTACCTCAGGGCTAATGAAACAAAGTTTCTATTTGATATGTTTGCTCTTTCAATTTTTATTGAAACTCAAATGTGTCTTTACAGTTTTATCCAAAGGTTGCAGAATTTCTTAAGCTTAGATTTAAACAATCACTATTTATAGTGTAATTTATATTTTTCATGGCATTTTAAGGGTTTATATCATTATTCAGAAAATATCTGACCCACAGACTTAGGTGGAGTCATTTGCAGTTTTGAAATAATGTTGGTTAATGTGTGAGGTCATAGGTTTCAAGGAAAATATCAACAACATCAGAGATAGCAATACTTTTAGAACTTGTAATTCTGAAATAGCATTCAACCTCAACAGCTAAATAAATCATGAAGTTAAGTTAATCTTTTAATACTGAAAAATGTTTTACTTAGTAGCTGTTTGTGAACATGACTGTGATTGTGGAAACTCAGCCCCCGTTTTGCCACTAATTAACTGTGTGATCTCAGGACCCATGAAGTCTCTTACTTCTACTTCTGAATCTATGGAAATAAAGTTTCAATTAGAATGACTTTAGAGTCATCTGTAAACTTTTGTGGTGCTTATTTATGTTTTATTATAGGTTAAATATGATTCAATATTTTACAGTTTGGTCAGACTCCATCTATGTATATATTGATTACCAGAAGATGGGGTGCTTGAAAACCAAAGGGCCTAACTTTAAATGGTAAATGTAAACCTTGTGAGTTGAGTTATGTTTTGTCAGGATTACCTTTTCAGATCCATTTCAAGGAATGGATAGATAAGAATTTAGAGTGAGCCATCATGATGCAATCAGAGTTTGCTGCCAGAGGAGGGGATTGTCAGAGTCCTGTTTCCCTTCCAGGGATCTGACATTTCTTTCCCAACCCACCCTATTACTTGTCAGAGGGACCAGAACTGTTGGCAGAGTGAACCAGTGCAAGAGACCATTGAATCAGGATCTGCATCAGACCTCTGGAAGGCTACCTTTGTAGTCCATGCATCCCATATTATCTGCTGACCTAGATGAATCCACCACATAGTTTGCTCCTATTCTTGGATGTAAATTTCATCATAAATGGGGATCAAGGTGGGTGTGGTGGGAGGAGAGTGAGGAACTAGGAGAGGAGGTGGAATTGATGAGAAGATAACTGCCAACCTGTTTGCCATGAAAACTATTTTAAATGACCTTGTGGGCTCCCCTGAGTTTGAAAAATTGTTTCAATGAGAAGTGTCATTACCAATTATGGCTACAGAAGCTAATCAAAATCATCTCCCTGACTTGGGCCACCTAATTCTACCAAGTTTAGTACTCACATATGATGGTATAAAAAAAGAATCAAGTGATATTTAGGGGTAAATAAATCTGCTATGAAAAGTAGTTTGGGGGAGTATGTTAGGAGTCAGTACATAATGTATTGAAATGCGAGTTGTATGTCAGTTTTAGTTATGAAAACTCAAAGTTCCTTAGTACTCTAAGCACTGGAATGATAATATAAGTAAGTAAATATAATATAGGAGAAAACAAAGAGAAAACTTTCCACAAATTTGCATTCCTTTATGAATAGAATAAATTACTGACACAATAAATTCATTATAATTTTCTTATATAAAAAGAAGCACTTGGGTTTAAAATCCTGGCAAGACATAAAGAGAAGAAAAATACATATACTAACCAAGAATAAAATATTCATTAGAATAAAGACATCTCAAAAATACTACAATTAATTCATTTTATTCCAGACTATGTAATCAAACTTGAAAATACCAGAGATCATTTATAATATAATTTTGAACAAAGGACAAGCTCTGTACCTCTCTTTCTCTCTCTCTCTCTATTTTTTTTTCTAATACCACCATGGCTCTATCATATTATATTTTCCCAGATGAACCACTGAAAGCCTGTTATAGCCTGTTATACATGTATGGTTTGATATACTATGGGATACTCATTTGAATATGCTTATTTGCCTGCCAGTTCGTAAATAGGGATTTAACTCTCAAATTTAATATGTATGATTATTATCTTCATTTATTCCCTTCAAATAAATTTGGCCTTGGGATTTTGGGGGAAACATTTAGTTTGTTTTTCAAACTTTAAAAAATATTATCAAGCAAAATTAGGTGTTTGGTATTATTAGGAGCAGTAAGTTGATTTTTTAAAATATTTAAAAATTATTTTCCTAGTGAGACTATTACTATGAAGATTCACTTAACCCAGTGCCACATTATCACTCTCACAGAGGTTATTCTTTTGTTCATCCACATAAGAATTGTTTACAGAGTATCTGCTGTGTGCCATTTGCTCCAGAAACCCCTACTGAACAAACATGATTGTAAAGAAATTCATTAGGAGTGTACCTTCTCATTCATGCTTCCACATTCTTCTCTGAATTGATTTGAATTTGCCTTTGACTAAAGGGATCATATGTCTGTATTTGTCCTGATGTCCTGATGTAATTATAAACGAAATCCCCTTCCACCCTTAAAAAGTGTCCCAGATTGTACGGCTATTTATAAATTGATCTTTATAATAAATAGTTATGTAACAAATCTAGGAATCATTTGTCACTGGCAAGTAACTCTCTGTCTAGAAAAAGAGAAAGATGTAAAACTCTAAATTCAAACTTGCCTAGTATCTATATTTTGAATCAACACATATATATCAGGAATATTTTCTTAAATTTGGGGAAATAAGCAAATAGAAGCTATCATAAAAATAAACCCAGCATTATCCACTATGTTTCATTAGGCAAATATGATACTGATATTGGTGAAGGATGTAAATTACCTCCATACTTCGATAATAGTATTGATCACATTCTTCCTGTTATACATGCACATAAAGTTCCTTGGCATTAACTACCAGCCATTTCAACAAAAGTAAGAAATTTTACTATAATAAATTAGGCAGTCTGTAGAAATAGATGTTTTGATCTAGAACAGCCTCCTCAGTTAATCATAAAGATGAGCAGAAATATATAGTGGATGATAAATATAAACCTCTAGGTAGAATGGAGTGCATTATTTGAGGTTACTGCTTGGGCCACTGAATTAGAAAGCTGTAGGCTGGATTTACACTAAAATAAACAGTGAGGTATTAAATGCATATTGATGGCATTCAGTGAAATGTTTCTTTGTTGTTGTTTGTTTGTTTCTTTTTCCCAAAAAGAAAGTATAAGCAACCTGAATGGGAAACTACTGTATTCTGTAGCAGAGCATTTATGAAGCAGAGCCACATGCAGCAACAGCATTTCATTTTCTGCTTTTTCTGTAATCACTCCCTTTCCAACACAGTGACTCACTAATTCCCCATGTCTACTATAATCTCTCCATTGCATTTCCCCATTACTTAGGCAGTATCCTCTTATTCCATACTTTTCCAGATGATTCCCTGACCCTCCCTAAAGGTGTTTTGTCTCTTTTTCCTTTATTCCCACAGGTTCCCACTTGCCTCTTGCATGCAAAATTAGCTTCTTCCCAGTACACTGTGACCACCTCTTTCCACATATGGTAGATTTCCCTCTCATAATTATCCTTTGCACTTCTGGCTTGAATATCTATTCCTCTTTCTCTCTACATTTTCAAGTCTTAAAATCACATATACACTATGATATCTAGTTCAAATACAGGCAAAGCTTATCTGTATTATTTATGGGTATACATAAAAAGGGTTAAACTATAAAGAGAAGCAAGGAAACAATAAGAAAAAAAGAATAGAAGTTATTTTTTAGAGGGGAAGGGTAAAAGGGTGGATTCGAGGGTGTCATCTATGTTCTTTACCAGAGAATAGGTAACCCGGTGTTCGCTTGCTTTCTCACCATTTGTTAAAGCTTACATATAATCAGTATTTCCAGGTAAAATACAGTTTACAGACATAAATAAATAAATAGACAAAATACAGTATAGAAATGTGAGTTTTGTATAAAAAATATATATCTGTAGGAGTTTCTGTATGTGTGTATGTATACACATACACCTGCAGATATATTACATGGGACATACTTAAGCTATATATATGTATAAGCTATAATATACTTTTGAGATATATATATATACACTTATGCTATAATATGTATAGCATAAATATGTCCTATGCATAATATTGGGACAAATATCTAATATACATACTTAATGTGTTCATAAAATATTTGCACATTGCATGAGACATACTTAATTTTATATTACACATATATATGTATGTGTATACGTACACATATTATATATAGTATGTAATATGTATGGATACATATATTATAAATGTATTTTTGTTGTGTTTCATCTATTATACATATATAATATATATATTTTTTCTGTTGTTATTCATATCAAATTTACACTTAATTAAGTGTCCTGCATTATTTGCTAAATCTAACAACCCTACGTTCCATTTGAATATACCTCTCTGATTATTATATTATAAGGAATGTTTTAAATACTAGTGAACCTTATAATTGTTATCATAAAGCCTAAATTATCAGCTAACCAAGAAGCAAACAGTCTGTAGAGATGAGGTAAAGGGTATTGGGCTTAATGACATAAAGTAGAAATATCTTTCTATTTAGTAATGGTTTAATACCATCAAATAGAGTAATCTGAAACTATTGAAAAACCACCAATGCAAAATACCCAAGACCTATTTCTATTGATTTATTCAACGGCTACAACATTATTGATAATAAGAACCTATTCACTGCTTTTGGCTAAGTTGCCCTAAGACACACGGCCAACAGGTCACTCAGTTCCTTGTTGTATATTTTTAAAATAATGAAGTCTAATATGGTAATGGAAACATCATCATCTTTGGTGTGAAAAGTCATAAACTACAGCCCAAGGTTTTCCACCTGCCATTTGTGTGGTCTTACGGTTACATGGTATTTACTCATGTAATTTCTCCTGAGTCTCAGTTTCCTCATTTTAAAAATGAGGAAATCCCCAGCTCTGCTTTGAGGATTAAGTTAAAAAGTTATGTAAAGAGCATTGTGTAAACAAAAAAATTCTTATGAAACATAAATTATGTACAAATAAAATAACATCTTGGGGGCTTCCTTGGTGGCACAGTGGTTGAGAGTCTAATGCAGGGGCCACGGGCTCGAGCCCTGGTCTGGGAGGATCCCACATGCCGCAGAGCAACTAGGCCCGTGAGCCACAACTACTGAGCCTGCGCGTCTGGAGCCTGTGCTCTGCAATAAGAGAGGCCGCGATAGTGAGAGGCCCGCGCACCGCGATGAAGAGTGGCCCCCGTTTGCCACAACTAGGGAGAGCCCTCGCACAGAAACCAAGACCCAACACAGCAAAAATAAATTAATTAATTTAAAAAAATAACATCTTTTGCAGCTTGATAGATAAGTGCAATAATTAATGTCTGATAATATTATTCTAAAGGATAATGAACAAACAAGATGTACCATGTAAAATATTCCTGCTTTGATTTTCTACGAAGCATCAAAAGGAAAGAGTTAAAGATAGGGGCTCCTTTTTCCTATTTTACAAAAACTTAAAATATCCTGCCTCTAGTGTACTCCTTAGAAGAAGTATCTATAGATTGACTCCCACACAGAATTATTTTTCCAGTCAAAATTTCATATTGCTTTTCCATCATCTGTTTCCCTGACTGAATGATTAGACTTCATCACCAGTCACAAATCCTGAAGCCATAACCTGGCAAATGAGAATATCACAGAGTTCTCCAGAAGATCAGTGAGTCCCAATGTTTTGTAGAGATAGATAGTCATTTTCTACATTCTTCAAGATGTTAAAAACTCTTGACGTGGTATTCACAGAGTGCAGAGATCAGGGCTGTGTTACAACGTAAGCCTAAGTGGAATGTAGCTGATGATAGTGGCTGGGAATTGCTGATGTCCAATCTCCAAGAATGTCCTTCTTCTTTTTCTAACCCTTCATCCTCTTTCCATTTTTCCTTAGCAATTGTAGTACTTTTCATCACCCTGAGACGCAGCAAAAAAGAGCCCCTGATCATTTCAGAGGAGGACGTGCGGGAGAACGTGGTCACCTATGATGACGAGGGTGGTGGTGAGGAAGACACCGAGGCCTTTGACATCACAGCCTTGAGGAATCCGTCTGCTGCAGAGGAGCTCAAGCACCGGAGAGATATCAGACCTGAAGTGAAACTCACCCCCAGGCACCAGATGTTTTCCACCCTGGAAAGTATAGATGTTCAGGAGTTTATTAAGCAAAGACTGGCTGAAGCCGACCTAGACCCCAGCGTCCCGCCTTATGACTCTCTGCAGACTTACGCCTATGAGGGTCAGAGATCAGAAGCTGGGTCCATCAGCTCGCTGGATTCAGCAACCACACAATCAGACCAGGATTATCAGTACCTTGGAGACTGGGGACCCGAGTTTAAAAAGTTAGCTGAACTCTATGGAGAAATAGAATCTGAAAGAACAACTTAGGGGGTCAATTCTTGCAACCTTCTAGAATTTGCTTCCTGAGCAAGTGGAGATATAACCCCAGCAATGGCAAGGAAGAAGCTTGGATTAACAGTACTAGGAACTGAGCAAGCAGAGCACAGCTACTGTAGAAACAAGTGCCCTTTTCATGATCGAAACTGGGTTATTTAATCGGAAGAAAGTCAAATTAAAAAAAAAAATACAGAGAAAAAGCTATTGATTGTTCCTTGTGTATATTTTCAATTGCTCAATAAAGTCTGTGTACTGTTTAATGAAGAATACCTGAATTAAGCCAAACAATGATATTTGTTTCAATATTTTGTGATTTCTTTTCAAAAGCAAAACTGAACAAAAAGTTTCCAAATCACTTATGACTCTGATTTCTAGGGGTGGTACACTGTAAAATGAAACTGGTGAAGTTAGTCACAACCTCTTTTTCCACTATTTTGGGTGGACTCTTGAGACCCACACCCTGTTTTTGTGACACATCTCATTAGCTTTGTCTTGTGTTGAAATGACACGCGGTATTTCCAATATACCAGGCCACTCTGTCATGGACTTGTATGTACCATTTTCCTTTGCCCTCCCCACTTCTTTTCTCCATATGAAATTGATGGAGCATGGGGATTTGCTGCTTGCACTATGATGTATGCAACTTCTGTGCACCAGTTGTGCACTGCTCTGAATCACGGAGACTACTGTCTCTGTCCTGCCTGTCCCCCTTTATTTTAACAGGAGAACCCCCTTTTTTAAGTGGATAGAATGAATGTTTTAAGATATACTCAGATCATCCATGTCAGGGAAAGATGTAATTAAAAAAAAAAAACAAAAAAAAACAAGAAAACCTACAAACCTTATCCTGTACAAAACATTGAGGAACTCTATACTTTTTTTCCCCCATTTGTTTTAGTGCATTTACGTCAGCAATTCTGATCATTCCTGTACCTAAAATTGGTTGTCAAATATTTGATGATTGGTTTATACTTGTCTAATTTGCTTATTTTTAACATGGTAGTCATTAAAAAAAATGAACCTCATATGATAACTATGTAGTCTGAAAAGACTATCCTCCAACTTACATAAACTTCGTAAACTTATGATTGACTTGTCTTTATTCCTCACAGAAGCTCAGACTTTCCCCATCTCACTGATTGATTAGCCCTTTATGTTTGAGACCCACAGAAAACGTGTAGGGCTTGGAGCAAAAAAATAGGAGTTTCCCACTTATTATTCTCAGACACGTCTCTTAAAGTCAGAGTCCCAAACTACAAAATAGAGATGGCAAAGACTTCCCTGCTTAATTTACAGGGTTATGTGAAGATCAATAAGCATCTGTAAAAATGTTTTGCCAACTGCAAAGTGTTCTGTTATGTAAAGGCTGGCAGACACTATCATTTTCTAATTCCATTAGTTCATAATTATAAAGTTACATACATTTTGAATAAAATACTATATTACCATGGGAGAATTTCATGAAACCTTCAACAGTGAAGTAACTGCTAACTGGAAAGATAATAGGAAAATTTTAATTCTTTTGACATTTTCCCAAATAGGCTAATTTTTTTCAGAATTTCTTGGGGTTTTCTCCCTAAATTGCTTAGATAACAATTTGCTGTTGTTGATATTGGTCGTGAAATAAAAAATTCATAGAATAATGATCCTAGTCTCCAAAAATGACCACATTTATGTATTTTAGATTAATTGTAATTTTGAAACCCTCAAATTAAGATTTATTTTAAGGGGAAGTTTTGCCTTTGCTCTTTAAATATATTATAGAGTCTTCAAAAGTTATATGTCATTTTCTGTCTGATTCTACTGATGTGCAAAATTTTGAATTTTGCCTCTGTTCATAACTGCCCTGTGCTATTATTTTTCAATTTTGAGATATGGGAAGTAAGTAAATTTAATTTGAATATTTCTCAATTTGTGTTTGAAACCTGAGGAATAAAATGTAATTTAAGTTTTTTACAACATTTTAGCTTTCCAGATGCTGCTTTATCATTTTTTATATCATAATAGTATGCAGTCCAGTATAAAGCTAAATCAAAAGAGACACTCAGGGGCTTTGGGGAACAACCTCTGGAGATCCATACTCTGATTATGCAAATGCTGGACTACATTCACCCTGACAGAAGGGTCCACCTTTGAAGAACGACTGTGGATGCTGGTGCTTTGACTTTCTTATGCAAAGAGGACTAGGAAAACCAGGTTTTGGATGTCCCATAGGTTTTTGGATATAGATTTTTGATAAACTATTCACAGATTTTTTTGTTTTGTTTTAATATTCATCTGGCAACTTTACAGGTAAAGGCTTGAAAGAGGAGAATACATGTACAAACCACTTAAACGTAAAAGCCAAAGTCCCCTGCATGGTTTTGAGTAGAGAAACATTTCCCTGATTTTGTGGAAAAAACACCCCAGATCCATCTGATTTTAATTACACATTTTAATGATAATGGATTGCTTCTAAGCCCCTGATATTAAATCTCATATAGAAGCAAAATGGAGCTTCTTTAGTATTGAAATAATATGTTCCTATATTGATTTATTTTAGAATTTTGTTAAGGAAAGCATTCCAAATATTATTTTTATATAAATTCTGAAATGAGGCAATTATATCATTATTATAAGTATGGACTGGGTCTCATATTTTTTAATGTGCTACTTTGGGTCAAAAAACCAATAATGATATATAAATGTTCTGCCAATGGACTGAAGTCATTTAACATTCAATACCTTGCTTTAAAAACTTCAGTTTATCAGTATGAAAAGCTAATTCTCAAAGACTTTAGTGGGTAAAGAGTTTGCACATACTCTGAACCCTCTCTAGCCACAGATAATCAGCTATGGAATATGTGATTCCATATGGATTCCACTATGGAATCGCTAATGTGTCTCAGCACATTTTGTAAGCCTTGGTTGATATTTACAGAAAAAATATAACTCTGAAATCAATTTACTTATTTCCAAGAGAAGAATTTTCCACAGACAGACCTTATACAATGTGGTAGCTGCTAAATTAGAGGAAATACAAACAGTTATAACATTTTTACCCAATGGTTTTCTTAATAGAATTTATAAATTCCAAATAACCTTTGTGCAGATGTAGGTCTTGCAGAAATTACTAAAGACCTATCATCGTAAATTCTTTCTATGATAAATCTGTATATACACAGATTTGAAGGGGAAATTGAAGAGGAAATTATCCCTAAGATAAGGCTCTATGCAAAGTTATGACTTTCCCATAACCAGGTATAAGAAGGAAAATATTCTGAGAAATGGCATTCATGTAACCACACACCCATACACACACATATACACACATATGTCTTCTTGAAGAATATTTAGAGAGTAAAAAAAATATTCAGAATATTGACTTAGATATTGATATGATCCAAATATGTGATGCATACAAAATTTAAGTACCCAGCATATGGAAGATTCAGCAAGAAGTTAATGAACATTCTTTTTGGCTTTTATTTTGTGTCTAGCCTCAGCCTAACCTTCAGTGCTGTCCATGATTGAAGCTGGTTTCACAGAGCAGAAAACACTATTAATAATAATAAATCAAAATTTTAGAAACAACGATTTAATGAACTCAGTGTGGCTATTAAATAATAAAAAGTGATTTGACTTAGATTCTTAGTGTACTGCAATGTAGTCAGAAGTCTGGGTCAAAGAAGGGCAATGTACTAAGTACACCATTTTCAGCAATGTTGAAACCTTACATAAGCGATTAGTTATTGTTTTATTTGTTCCTACAAACCTACATCCATAACTTTGATTCATTGTCCTTTTGGTTTAGCTGAATATATAGGGAAAACACAGACTCGTTCATGTCAGCAGCCATTAAGAAGTTCCAGGTACACTGGAACACTGGAACATACATAGATCCAATAGGTACACTGGAACATGCATAGATCCAATATTTTTTGGTAAAAGCTTCATCTGCGTTTTAGTATGGCCAGTGCTTGATCAGCTATTCAACAAAGCAGAACTCTAAAGCTGATCATTCTGGAAAGAGGCAAGAGTCCCATTTTTCAAACTCAAATTGTACTTAGCTTCAAGGTATGGTTATGTTCAATTAAATTTACTTACCTTTCAATTTCAAGAATAGAACAAATCTCAGAACCGTCCTTGGTAGATATGTGACTCAAATTCTCTCTCTCTTTTTTTTACCCTTTAGGATTAAGGCAAATCAAATATTATCTAAAGGAAACAAAACCACTTCAACTTTTTTTTGTTTGTTTGTTTGTTTGTTTTTGCGGTACATGGGCCTCTCATTGTTGTGGCCTCTCCCGTTGTGGAGCACAGGCTCCGGATGCCCAGGCTCAGCGGCCATGGCTCACGGACCCAGCCGCTCTTCAGCATGTGGGATCTTCCCAAACCAGGGCACGAACCCGTGTCCCCTGCATCGGCAGGCGGACTCTCAACCACTGCGCCACCAGGGAAGCCCCCACTTCAACTTTTATATTCTACTTCATCAGCAGAAGGTAATTTTTTTTGTAATATAGAATTAGAAATCTTATAAACCCCACAGTCAAAAGTAGCTTACAATCATTTGAATATAACACTAGCACAGAACCCACTCTTTTTTCAAAGATTCCAAATACATCATTTTAAAATGAAGATATTAATAGCAACAGTTTTTAACATGTCAAAAGATATATTCTGCCTTTGGCTTCTACCAATGAAAGAAGTAGTGAGGAATTTGTGTTTTTTTTTTGTTTTTTTTGTTTTTGTTTTTGTTTTTGTTTTAATTAGAGATTAAAAAAAACAAGTTGTGTTCTTATTTGAAGCTTGATGAAAAAAGCTTTTAGGCTAGTAAGGAATGATTACATTTATCTTCTTTGCTGAGTCTATGGAATTGAAGGATTTTTGCCCTTCTACAGAGACATCAAACCTATTTTAGTAATAATTTGTTTTTAAAGTCTTAGGTGAAAATAAATGGGAAAATAGGAATTCAAAGAATCCTGAAATGATATTCTGTGAGGAAGGCATGTGTCATTTACAGATGGAAGTGGATTCATCTGATGATTTCGTCTTATTGCCCAGCAATATTACCTTCAGAAATAAAGAAAAGGGCCATAATAGTTAGTGTCACCCTAATGATTTTATCAAGGCAATTTTTCTTGTGTCATAATGCATCAAATTCTTATTCTGAAACATTTATTGCCATTTTCAAAGTGCCACTTCATATGCCTTAGTTTCAAACAGGAATTCATACAATCTAACATTGTGATTTACTGAGTAAGCTCTTCTAAACATGTATCATATGT